AAATTCAGGTTCCGCAACTGCACTGTAGATACATGCATTTCTCAATGTCAACCTGTTTGATCGGACCTGTCAAACATTGACTTTCAGTTTCGAGAAGTCGAGGGATTGGAACTTGCAGTCTGGAGGAGTCTGGAGCTCAAGAACTCGCGCATTCACGCCATGATCCCGCATTACGACTAAGCTCACGTTTGGCTTCAGCGTTAAGTAGCTCAGGCAACCGTCGGAGTGTCTCCAAGATAGATAGAGCTTATTTGAGGCACCAGCAGTTGACCTAAAGTCAGCCCCGTCCCACCAGCCCGCCGTGCGTAGAACAGTGTGATCCCTTTTCCATTTCCGCGTTTGGCAAGACATCAGGGTCCGTGTTTTGATCGCTGTCAGGGGGAGGTTTGCGTCAGACTTCCAAGGAACCAATAGGTAGGTAGACACATCTCTCAATGTTTGATCTTCCCTCGTCCCGCTGAGAAGACGACTGTTTGCGAAGGCTTGTCTGGCAGGCTACCGCGGGATTCATGTTTCCGCAGTTTCCACGGTAGCTAGTTGTGAGACAGGCCGCTCTCTCAAGCTGCCAAATATATGTCGCTTGGCCTGCGCTGAAGCTTGTGTCAGCAAGCGAAGCCAGCAGCAGGCAGCAATGACTGCCCTAGCAGGAGACCGCTGAGTTCTCTGAGATATGTTGCAGATTTCCTGCAATCCTGGTTGGCTCTCAAAGTATTTCGGCTTGGCGAAAAACAACGCCAGTTTTGACTCGCATTGGCTGCTTCCACAGCGGGATCGGTGGTCACTTAAGTCCCCAGGCGTGCAGGCGAATTCGTTGAATAATGTCAGTTGCCTAATGTTCCTGTGAGGCAGTCCGCATACTTGAGACAGGTGTACTGCCGGCTGGAGCCCTTTTGTTCGACGCAGGCCTTTCGCATCTTGCCAACTTGAAGAGTCCTGTGGTCTGCCACGGCGAGAACGGCTGCGCCCCAAACTAGTGTTTTCCTTCTATTCAAGTACGCTTCAAGCTTGCAGACTTCCGAAGAGTGAGTGTGGAATTTGTGCACATCCACGGTCTGAGACGATGCAAATGCCTACAGTCTATAGCATCAGAGAACGAGGGCGGATTTCTACATTCCTCCGAGTCTCGTAGATACATGCATTTCTCAATGTCAACCTGTTTGATCGGACCTGTCACACATTGATTTTCAGTGTCAAGAAGTCGAGGGATTGGAACTTGCAGTTTGGAGGAGTCTGGAGCTCAAGAACTCGCGCGTTCACGCCATGATCCCGCATTACGACTCAGCTCACGTTTGGCTGTTAAGTAGCTCAGGCAACCGTCGGAGTGTTTCCAAGATAGATAGAGCTTATTTGAGGCAGATGTGTGCCAGCAGTTGACCTGAAGTAAGCCCCGTCCCACCAGCCCGGCGTGCGTAGAACAGCGTGATCCCTTTTCCATTTTCGCGTTTGGCAAGACATCAGGGTCCGTGTTTTGATCGCTGTCAGGGGGAGGTTTGCGTGAGACTTCCAAGGAACCAATAGGTAGGTAGACACACCTCTCAATGTCTGATCTTCCCTCGTCTCGCTGAGAAGATGACTGTTTGCGAAGGCTTGTCTGGCAGGCTACCGCGGGATTCACGTTTCCGCAGTTTCCACGGTAGCTAGTTGTGAGACAGGCCGCTCTCTCAAGCTGCCAAATATATGTCGCTTGGCCTGCGCTGAAGCTTGTGTCAGCAAGCGAAGCCAGCAGCGGGCAGCAATGACTGCCCTAGCACGAGACCGCTGAGTTCTCTGAGAATCTCTGAGATATGTTGCAGACGTCCTGCAATCCTGGTTGGCTCTCAAAGTATTCGGCTTGTCGAAAAGCAACGCCAGTTTTGACTCACATTGGCTGCTTTCACAGCGGGATCGTTGGTCACTTAAGTCCCCAGGCGTGCAGGCGAATTCGTTGAATAATGTCCCGCTAAGAGGGCCAGCGTCAGTTGACTAATGTTCCTGTGAGGCAGTCCGCATACTTGAGACAGGTGTACTGCCGGCTGGAGCCCTTTTGTTCGACGCAGGCCTTTCGCATCTTGCCAACTTCAAGAGTCCTGTGGTCTGCCACGGCGAGAACGGCTGCGCCCCAAACTAGTGTTTTCCTTCTGTTCTGGTACGCTTCAAAGCTTGTAGACTTCCGAACAGAGAGTGTGGAATTTGTGCACATCCACGGTCTGAGACGATGCCAATGCCTACAGTCTATAGCGTCAGAGAACGAGGGCGGATTTCTACATTCCTCCGAGTCTCGTAGATACATGCATTTCTCAATGTCAACCTGTTTGATCGGACCTGTCACACATTGATTTTCAGTTTCAAGAAGTCGAGGGATTGGAACTTGCAGTCTGGAGGAGTCTGGAGACTCGCGCGTTCACGCCATGATCCCGCATTACGACTCAGCTCACGTTTGGCTGTTAAGTAGCTCAGGCAACCGTCGGAGTGTTTCCAAGATAGATAGAGCTTATTTGAGGCAGATGTGTGCCAGCAGTTGACCTAAAGTAAGCCCCTAGAACAGTGTGATCCCTTTTCCATTTCCGCGTTTGGCAAGACATCAGGGTCCGTGTTTTGATCGCTGTCAGGGGGAGGTTTGCGTGAGACTTCCAAGGAACCAATAGGTAGGTAGACACACCTCTCAATGTCTGATCTTCCTCGTCTCGCTGAGAAGATGACTGTTTGCAAAGGCTTGTCTGGCAGGCTATTGCAGGATTCACGTTTCCGCAGTTTCCACGGTAGCTAGTTGTGAGACAGGCCGCTCTCTCAAGCTGCCAAATATATGTCGCTTGGCCTGCGCTGAAGCTTGTGTCAGCAAGCGAAGCCAGCAGCGGGCAGCAATGACTGCCCTAGCAGGAGACCGCTGAGTTCTCTGAGAATCTCTGAGATATGTTGCAGACGTCCTGCAATCCTGGTTGGCTCTCAAAGTATTCGGCTTGGCGAAAAGCAACGCCAGTTTTGACTCGCATTGCCTGCTTCCATAGAACCATGTCAGCGGTTCGGGTAACGTAGCCTTTAGTAGTATAGGGTCTCAAATTACTTGGAGGGTCGGAGGACTTAGTAAGTAGGTAATAAGTAGAGTTATAAGTGCCCTAAATGGAATCCTAATTGGGGTTATGGTACTTATAACTCTATAAAAGTAACTACTTACTAAGTCCCCCGACCCTCCAAGTAGGGTCTCAAGTTAGGGCTACGACTTTGCACCTCCGCAACGGCCTAGGAGATGTCGCCTCAGACTCGCTTTGAGCTGTCGGCTGTTCTGATCCAGGGGCTTAAATACTTGCCAATACTATTTTGGGGGTTCCTTATTTTCGTTATGCTTTAAAAGAGCCCAAAACCCTATTCTAACTATAAAGGCCCTCATTCTGCCGCTAAGAGTCGTTCCATGTCTCAATCCGCGCAAACCCTGCAGCTGTCTCCTCAAACAGGGGCAATCAAGCATCTGCCCATCGTGGAAGAAGTGAGCTTTCTTAAACCCCAAGCTCGCAGCAACCAGCGGATAATTTGAGAAGTGCATGGCTGAGAGAACAAACATCAAATTTCCGAACCCCATGTCCTGTGCAACCCTATAATTACATCCTCGAGCTCCTTTGGTGTGACCACAGTCCCGTTCGGGCAATGGGTTGCTGCGCCGGGTTCTGAGCGGTTTGCGGACTTTGCGATTTGGGTTCACGAGTTACAGCTTCACGAGTCGGATCACTGCGTCGTGGTCATGGATCTTGGGTCGTCATCGTCGTGATCGAACAAATCTCACAAACTTAATCGTGGGTGAGTCCTGTGTTCCCAGCAGCACAAGTGGCTTGGCGTGGAGCATCATAGTAACGGAACAAATCTCCGAAATAGTAGCAGGAAGCCCAGTCAATGCAATGACAGGTGTCACGATCGTCGCAACAGTGAACCAACTGTGGCTTCTTTCGGTTGTTTATGCTGGCCTCAGTAATCATGTCTGTCTCCGAGGTCATGTATTCAGTGTTCGTAGGCACGTATAACGCCCAAAAAATCATGGCATTTATGACGTTAATTCGTAGTTCAGCATCCCAAACTTAACTTTGCTTGTAGCATTCATAGTCTACACTTTACGAAATGAATGAACCGAAGCCCATGCAAATCAGACCGTCTGAACCGACAGCCCGCAAAAGCTACGCCATCAAACCCCTTCTGAACAGCGGCATGATTCCAAGTGCTGTCAGCTACAGCGTACACCAATAGCCTTCAATTTCAAGAGACTCACCTATAGTTTCCAGGTACCTCCAGGCCGTTGCAGCTTCGATCCAACCCTACACCCTAAATCCTACACCTCAAATCCTAAACCCTAAACCCCTTAACCCCTAAACCCCTAAGCCCTTAAACCCCTAAACCCTTAAACCCCTAAACCCCCAAACCCTAAGCCCTCCGTCTCAGGCCTGTGCCCCAGAGCCGGCAGAGGCCAGACCTTCACCTGCCCTTGCTCGGTTTTGCCAGGGCGCCCGTGGGCTTTCTGAGGTTAAAAGCCATGGGTTTTGTGAAGCAATGAATTCATTTGTTTGTTAGTTTTCTTCGTCTTTATCTTTATTTGTTTGTTTTGTTTGCGTGTTTGTTTTGTTTGTTTGTTGGTTTTGTTTGTGGTTTGTTTTGTTTGTTTTGTTTGTTTTCTTTATTTGTTTATTTGTTTGTTTTTTGTTTGTTTGCTAAACTGGTGTTAGGACCCGTAAGCCCCAAACCGTCCTGAGTTTGGGGTCCAAGTTCTGCATTCAGGTGCTTGGGACTTGGTAAGTTCGCTCTGTAGAAGGATCTTGTCACAAGTCATCAACACCCCTGACCCCTAAACCCTAAACTCCCTAAACCAGCTTTGTGTGTGGATTCCTGGCCCCTGGTGTCTCCGGGGCTTCCAGGCTTGGCGTTATCAGCTTTCAAGTTGCGGGTCAAGTCCTAAACCCTAAACCCGAAACCCTAAGCCCGAAACCTTAAACCCTAAGCCCTAAACCCTAAACCCTAAGCCCTAAACCCGATCTCGGAGGCTCCGAAGTCCCAGACCTGGGCTTCCAGCAGCCGACCCACACTGCTCTCCGGGCGACGAGTCCGGGCTCCCGCGCGCAAAGTCCGCGCAGAGGAGGTGGGAGTATATGGGCCCAGGATCATGCCTACATAGGACTTGGTGACTAGGGTTACAATTATGGTGTTGCGGGTGTGGATATGAGGTTTCGAGTTTAGGGTTGAAGGTTGAACGGTTTGGGTTTGGGTTTGGGGTCTAGGATTTGTTTTCTGGAGCTCCGAAACAGATTCGGGAATCTGCTTCGAGTCCCAAGCACAGAAGAGGCTCGACTTCGGCAAACCCTTCATCCACATCGTCGAACCCCAGATCCCACCCTGTGATGGCGAAAGACGATCATCTTCCTGATGCTGATGACGTTTTCGATAGTGCGGATGAGAAACAATGATTGTGATGCTGACATTAGTGATTCAGTCAGTGCTTCTAGTGGTGGATGGCGTCGATGTTCTTAAACATGATCCGGGTGATGATCATGAGGACATGGATAAGAAGTGTCATGAAGAGTTCCTGCTTGCGCTGACGGAGTAGTGGTCGCCTCGTTCTGTTGCTCCTGCTTTTGATGATGATGATGAAGATTCTGAGGATGCTGCTGATGATGATGACGATGATGACGATGATGAGAGGGCGATGAAGATGAAGATTTTGACGACGATGATGATAGGAAGCCTTAAAGGAACCCATATGGGTACATGGAGAGACCCTAAACCCTCATGGCCCAGTCATGAAGAAGCCGAGCGACAGGTCCCGCTGCGAACTTCTCGCTGCGCGGAGCTGTCTGCGTATTTCGCCCATGGATATCTGCCCCGTGTCCTTGAGCGGGCTAGGAGGTTTAGGGTTTAGGATTCGAAACGGATGTTTAGGGCTGTTCACAGCGGTAGGATCCTAAACCCCGAGCCCCTAAGTCGAGGGCTGGGTGGGGTGGTGGCTGGCAGTGGCCTTCGGAATCACATGCTTGGGTTCTGTGCCCGGGTCCCGGCTGTGGGACTCCGATGTTTCGGTTCGGAGTTTATGGCTTCCATTAATTCGAGGTGGACACACATGCTTGACTATGCTTGTGTAGGTTGTGTAAGTCCGAATATGTAGCGATGATGCATACATAAACATATACACACACACACATGCATGCATACATACGAACAAACTCCGAGCGTGCACGGATGGTGTTTTGCAGAAAGGGAGTATAAATGCATACATGCCAATACACATGCGTACGTATATCTCACAACTATCGCACACACACACACACACGCATACATACATGTATATAGACATCACATATCCGTACATGTAAATATACGCACACACGAACGAAGGCATTTTCGAAAACACGTACACACCGTCAAAGAAAGAAAACATATTGCATATACACATACACACCTGCATCATGCATCTATGTGTCCAGAACCATGCACACACACACACATCGTGCACATAGAGTCGACATAGAGATACTTATAGATATGCATTGTACAGAATGCCTCTATATATTTGTGCACGCATTGTGCCTACTTACCTGCACCACTCAGCCTACGCACTGAGTCAAAACGAGCGCCCCAGTAGGCACGGCGAGCTCCTGGAGAGTGCACAGTACACCTTGGACTACGTTGGCGAGCTTCGCACTTTCCGGCGACTCGCACATACCTTATCCGGCGTTCTTACCTTCCGGATCCGATTCTTTTACGTTATTTTGGGATCCTAAACCCTAAACCCTAGACCCTAAACCCTAAACCCCAAACCCTAGACCCTAAACCCTAACTTGCAAGTATGCAGGGGTGGACCTTTCTATCGTCCAGTGGTAAGGCCAGCGCTTGTTTTGGGCTTCGGTGAGCCTTACTTTTGGCCTGCGGCATGCTCACATTACTTGTTCAAAGCATGTCCTGTCTAAGCCCTAAACCCCTACACCTTAAACCCTAAACCTTAAGCCCTAAAAATCCCTAAGAACCCCTAACAAACCCAAAAATCCTTAAACCCTAAACCCTAAACCGATCAACCCTAAGCGAGCCTGACGGGCCAAGTCTGAGCTGACTCACAGGTTCGGGGTCGAAGTGTTTGTGGTTTGGGCTTAGGGCTTTGGGTTTAGGGGTTTAGGGCCTAAAGTTTAGGGTCTAGGGCATCATTGGGTGGTAGGTTTTCAGGGTTTAGGGTTTAGGGGTTTAGGGATTAGGGCATCATTGGGTGGTAGGTTTTGAGGGGTCAGGATGCTAAGCTTGTAGGCTTCCTGGTTTAGGGTTTAGGGTTTAGGGCTTAGGTGGTGGAGAAGTAGTGCCCGCAATGGTAATGCAAGCAGCGTCAACACTTCCCGCAAGAGCACGGGTCGTGCCACCAACAGCAAGTGCCATAAGACCCGACCCCTAAGCAGAACCCCCTAAACCCTAAACCCT